CGGCAACATTAAGCTTCATCTACGAGGGAGTAATAAAATCCTTCCCAGACAAGCAATCACTGATAGATTTTGCAAAGACCAGACCAGCCCTACAGAAAGTAGTCAGTCCTGCATTACACACTGAACAGCATAATAGACGCTCTTCAAAGTAAAATCATTCAAGAATTAAAGCCTAGAACGTGGACTGCATGATGGCTCAAGGAACAAAACAAAACAACAAGATTTCACCCAACAATATGAATGGAAATCTACCACAAATCTCAATCCTCTCAATAAATGTGAATGGCCTGAACTGTCCTCTGAAAATATACAGGCTGGCAGAGTGGATAAAAATCCACAAGCCTAGTATCTGCTGCCTACAGGAAACACATCTAACCCACAAGGATGCCTTCAGACTAAAGGTCAAGGGATGGAAAACTATCATCCAGGCAAATGGAAGTCAAAAGAAAGCAGGGGTAGCTATACTATTTTCAGATAACATAAGCTTTAAAATAGCAAAAGTAAAAAAAGACAAAGATGGCCACTATAGATTGGTGAAAGGGAAGATCCAACAAGAAGAGTTTATAATCCTTAATATCTATGCACCCAATACACGAGCACCCAGTTATATAAAGCAAACCTTGTCTGATCTAAACAACATGATAAACAATAACACCATAATAACAGGGGATTTCAACACTCCACTGAATGAACTGGACAGATTTTCCAAACAGAAAATAAGCAAAGAAATAATGGACTTAAACAGAGCTCTTGAACAAAAGGGTCTGACAGATCTCTACAGAACATTCCACCCAAATAAAGCTGAATTTACATTCTTCTCATCAGCCCACGGAACTTTCTCCAAAATTTACCACATACTAGGCCACAAATCAGACCTCAACAAATTCAGAAAAATAGAAACTATACTGTGTACTTTCTCGGACCATAGTGGCTTAAAATTAGAGTTCAATTCCAACAGAAATACTCGCCACCTCACAAAGTCAAGGAAATTAAACAATCTATTGTTGACTAATTCCTGGGTCAAGGAGGAAATACAAAGGGAAATCAAGAACTTCTTTGAACTAAATGATAATGGAGAAACAAGCTATCAAAACCTATGGGATACAGCAAAAGCATTTCTGAGAGGAAAACTGATAGCAATAAATGCTCATATCCAAAAAACAGAATGATCAGAAACTGACAACCTAATAAACAGAATCAAGGACTTGGAAAAGGAAGAGCTAACCAATCCCAATCCAAATAGAAGAAAAGAAATAACTAAGATCAAAGCAAATTAAACGAAATTGAGAACAAGAGAACTATACGCAAGATCAACAAAACCAAAAGCTG